GAAAATTCTATTTTGTCTATTAAATTGGCATCGCTTTTTGTTCAAAGCCAGTATGCGCCAATGGCCAGGATGTTGTAAAATGAGAATTATTAAAGAGCATAAAGTATGGGACAGTCTGAATGTATTGAACGCCTTTAAAATGTGTCTAATACTCACTGCCCGAGCATGGCATTTCCATTCCCCAGGCAATCATCAAGCATCTGGCAATGGTTGACCTACCTGGCTGACTGTTATAGCACTGCTGTATACTAGCAAAAAAAAGCTCTTAGAAACCACCAAGGCACCCAACTTGGAGAAGATGGGATTGCATCTATCAAAAGCTTGAGAGCCAGGAAGAAGAGCAGGTCCAGCTTGGAAGGGTAGATACATTTAGTTTGTGATGCTCTGACTTTGAAGTGGTTCTAGGACATCCAAATTGTGACGTCTGAAGACAGGCAGAAATACACTTTGATGCTCAAAGTGTAGCTACAGGGGCTACACAGAAAAGACTGAGACCATCCCAGCATGGATAATGGGTCACAACGTTGGATGCTCCAATGACTTTTAAAGATAGAAGCAAAGGTTTAATGAACATGGCTAAATCTACATAGACTAGTAGACTAAAAATATATTTGTATGTTCCCCTACAAATTAAAATCCAAGGGGCTGGAGAGATGGCTCAGCGGTTGAGAACACTGGCTACTCTTGCAGAGGACCCAGGTTTGAATCCCAGCACCCACATGGTGGCTAACAACCATCCATATCTCCAGTTTCAGGGGTTCTAACGCCCTCTTTTGACCTGTGTGGGCATTATGTGACATGAGTGCACTTACGTACACACAGACAATACACTTGTACACACAGACAATACACTCGTACACATAAAAAATAAAAATAAAGAAGATATTAAAAAAGAAAAACCCAAGAGACTAGGTAGCACAATGCTAAAATTATAGATCATTTAAGTATTATTTTTCTCTACTCCATATTTCTCTTTTTAAAAATGCAGTATATTATATACATAAATATGTATTGAGTGACTATATGTACTCCAGCATTTTCCTAAGGGCTGAATGATAAGTATATATTAGCTTTTAAAATGTTTATTTATTATTTTTATTTTATGTGTATGAGTGTATTGGCTACATTTATGTAAGTGCATCCATTTCATACAATGCCCTCAGAGGACAGAAGAGGGGGTCATGTCCCCTAGAACTGGAGGTAGGATGGTTGTTATCCACTACATGGGTGCTGAGATTTGAACCTGAGTCCTCTGCAAGAGCAGCCAGTGCTCTTAATTGCTGAGCCATCTCTCCAACCCTTACACTGGCTTTTAAAAATGACTTATAGCATTTTTTTTTTTCAAATTGAACTATTTGTTCAACCAATGCTGGCAGACAGGGAAATGCTGACAACCTCAAGGCAGAAAGTGATGAACAGAGGGCAGGAGTCAGTCACTCTGCTCTTTACAGAAGCCCTGCTCTGGCAAGCAACAAAAAAGGGAATTTCAAGGTTTCTTCTACAAGGTGAGAAAGCGCTATAAATACAACTGTAAAAGTCTGCTTAATCACGTGCCTTGGAAGTAATCTCATCCTCATGGCATTTCACCAAGAAGTTCCAAAGCAAACGGATAATTTCTCCATAATTTTGAGAACTTTTTGTCCTTTAAAAACAAAAAGAAAAGAAAGCAGGAAGACAAAAGGAAGAAGAGAGAAAAAAGCATGTGCATGTTTTCCCCAATTTTTAGAAAGATGGGCTGCTGCCAGCTGCTCAGTCTATCAGATTTTTAATGTGAGTCCACCCACTCCAACCTGTGCCCATGTCTGAATATAAATACGTATATTTGAAAACTTGAAAAACTCTCATAGTTCATGCTCTTATCATAGAATGTAATAAGAGCTGAGATGTAACTTTTTCAGGTTTATTGAATTCACAATAGCCATTGAATTAAGAAATTGCATTGTTCTTCCTCATGGATATTGAATTATTGGAAGGCCACTATACATCTGGTACAGAACAACAAAATGAAATATGACTTCCTCAAAGCAGAACTCTATTTCCATTAGTTACCTCAGATGGAAAGCTTTTACTTGTAATTAAGTAAATCCATTATAGGCTTTGAAGCAATGTCTGACATGAATTAGATTTACTAAATATGTAACCTTTAGGTGACCTATATTTCATTCTTTTAAGTTGAGCCCTATCACAATCAAGTGATCAATAAATAGAATACCACAAACAATATCCCTTCTGTTTGTCAGATATTATAAATGATCATCTTTGTGACTGTAGAAAGCAAATAGCTATTGGTCTAATCTTTTGGGGCCTGTCTCCTGAAAGCATGATACATCATTTTTACTTTATAGCTTTCTATGCATAAGGCACCTATTTCTATATCCTTGGAGATGACGAGGTTATAAACACAGATACAGATGCCTTACAAATATACCTGTGATGTGTATTTATTTTGATAACCTTAACTGCCCTCCAGCTTTAGGAAGGTAAAGGGCAGGGTGACTGTATTTCCTTAGGATGACTGTGTCTTATTTTCAAGAAATCCATCTCACATTAGCATGTAAGTTATTCAACTCTCTCATCCATCACTGGCCACGCTGATAAATCTAAATACTGAATGTTTTTCCAAAGGCACAGAGCCTAATAGGTAAGAGCTCTAGTGATAGAATCGTGCTGTGCTGAATTCTGAAAAGCCATTAACTTGGACATTCACTATGTGTGCCATCTTCGGGAGGTAACTTGTTTCAATTGTTTAAAAGAAATAGATAATGGGCGCCTAGAACTGTAGGAAGATAACAAGCAGTTTAGTACAGTGTCTGGTTTGCAGCAGGTTCTCCACAGAACAGATGTTACTTAAGAGCATTAATAAGAAAGCATTTTCTGGGGCTGGAGAGATGGCTCAGCGCTTAAGAACACTGACTGTTCCTGCAGAAGACTTGGGTTCAAATCCCAGCACCCACATGGCAGCTAACAACTGTCTGTAACTCCAGTTCCAGGGAATCTGACAGCCTCTTCTGTCCTCCATGGGCATTGCATGACACAGGTACACTTACTTACATGCAGGCAATACATACATACACATAAAATAATAAATAAAATATTTTTTAAAAATCTTAGAATGTCCAAGGAACAGGTAGAAGAGAAAGAACCAGGCCCCAGGACCTCAGTAATCACACATCTGATCCCAAGAAAGAGAATAAGTGTCTCTCCCTCAAGATTCCAACTCCTTTGCCTGTCTGCAAACCTGAGTGGGGAAAGGGGAAGGAAAGTTCTGCTCAGCTTGAGAAGGTGAATGAAGCTTGTGAGAGTCATGAACAACTGCTCTCTGCTTTGGAAACAGGGGTGCTCCAGGCAATGCCCCACATCAGCAATCCATTGTCCGTGAGGAGGCTGTGATAACTGAAAAGGCTCACACTGTAAATAACAGATGGTTATAAAGCTCCAAACACAGCTCTATCTCCCCACAGTTGCATACATGTGCACACATTCACACATATATGCACAAAATGATCTCAAGAATCCATAATATATAAAATTAAAAAGCATAAAGGAATACACCAAAAGGTATAAAGGTAAGTGTTGAGATACTTCTTTTTACTTTTAATTATTTTTCTACTTATTTATAATCATGAACTGTCCTAATAGCTGACAAATTCATTTATTGAGTCCATGAGTTTTCTGAGAAAAAAAGATAGTCCTAATACATTTCTCCAATTTTGAAAGAAGATAACAATTTGTCCTGTAGAAAGATATTTATTGATGTGATAGATGTTGGTAATAATTAGCCAGGAAGAAGCTTTCCCAAGTTATTTTAGGCAGCCTGCCCCAGAGCTTTCTCACTGGGTCAAATTTGCATGCCTTTTTCCTTTCTATTAAACATTTTGAATAGCCTTGGAGGATTGGGGACAGGGGTGGGTGTGAGGAGTGTAAGGATCATAAATGAGGTAAACACCTTGTAAACCGGAGAGTGTTGGTCTATACCAAGGCTCTGCAGCCAAGCTTGGTTCACACATTAAGACAGAGTCTGTGTGTGGGTGGGGGGAGGGGGTAAGACGCACCACCCAGTAAAGAACCTTGGCTTTGAGGGAATGAATGTATCTTCCCTTTGGAAGAAGACACTTCACTCAAGACAGTTCAGAAGCAAGACTCAAGAATGTCACAAGTTGGGAGTGCAATTTTAGCTTTCTGTTCCTATCAAGCTGCCCAGCTCAATCCCCTGGGTGTTTTTAGGGGCTCTGTGGAAACTACTTTTACTGGTCTAAGCTTCTAGGTCTCTGTTTAGAGAAACCTGACCCTCCCTAACCTGGGATCCAGACTTAACTACTTCCTGAACCTTCACTACTGGCAGGTACTTAAGCAGCAAGAATCCACTTTTTATATTCCCTGGAGCGAAAGGGTGGGAGATGGTAGGAGGGATCACCTGGTGTGGGTGAATGCTGGAAGAGCATTCCTGGAATGTTTTCCCTCCAAAATCCTCTTCAGGATATCTTATTTCTACTGGAGCTGGGCTGGGCATCCTATGGTCGTTATGGGTTTCCAGTTCACCCAGGTCTCCCGGGTCACAACAGTGCCTTCTAGGTGAAAGGACGTTTTACTTGTTCCTGGCTGGGATGGAGGACTGAGAGGGCTAGTTTTAAAAAACAAAACCAAGCCACACTCATATAGACCCTACAGAACCGCCACAGACTGTCATGGTAAAGAGAGGGTCCCATACCAGGGGATGGGGCCAAGAGAAAGGAGGGAAGGGAAAAGGTCACCCCCTGTTTGCCAAATTACTCTGAGGGAGGTGAAGAGGGTGCCTGGAAGGAATAACGTTGGGCTTATGCCACTGACAAGAGCCACGCAGCAGGACCTCAGTTTAGAAGCTCTCCATCCCAGCTGGACGCCCTCTTGCATCCACGGTTGGCGCTTATGGGTCGGGCGCTGATGGGTCCCTAGCCCTCTCTAGGCGCAGCTCAGGTGAGGGACTGGGCCTCTGGGGACCCCAGATAGTGGGGGTTGGGTACCTTAGTGCCCTGGTAGAAGTCGTCAACAGACCGTGAGCCCATGAATGGAAACTGCATGTGCGTGTGCGTGTCGATGCCGCCGGGCAGGACCAGTTTGCCCGTCGCATCCACGATCCGCAGCTCTGCGGGCGCGTCCCCTGGCTGCAACAGGTCGGGTCCCAGGGCCCTCACCACGCCGTCCTCCACCAGCACGTCGGCCACTTGAGAGAAGTCATCGTTAACCACGCGACCCCCGCGGATAAGGAGTCGCCCGGGCACCGCCATGGTCAGGTAGCACTGCCCGCCCAGGGCTGCACACTACCTCCCCTGAGTTCCCCACGAACTGTGCCCCAGCTGGGCTGGAAGGGTTTCTGGTCACAGGTGCAGCTCCACCCCGGGGAGGGCTGGGCCACCAAAGGCCAGGCACAGCCAAGAGGGCAGTTCTGTCGCCCTGAGTCTAGATGGCCACGGAGCTTATTAGAGGGGAGGGATCTTGGAATCTCAAGACTGCAAGCAGGGGCCTTCCTGCCTGAGAAAAGTGTTTTGGGGAAAAGAAAGAAATTAAGTTCTTTGTTTCTTTAGTAAGTTCTGTCTAGAATAAGGACAGGCACTACTGCACTGTCCCCGGTGCCAGTGACAACTCAGAACACTCTGGAACTGGACCCTTTTTTACTGTCACAGTGCCTGGCAGGCTCAGAGTCCCAAAGTTCACAAAGAGTTCATCTATTTGAAATCCATGATTTGGACTCAACAGTTCTCCAGGTTTTATTGACAGAGCTGAGGGTCAAATGCTCAAACACATGAGTATATCGCGTTCCTTTCACAACCAAATCACATGGCACAATATTCAAGTGATGACACGTAAGATTTACAGGGTCTGCTTTTAGCTTTAAAAGTTATTTGAAGCTTGGGCTAGGGAATGTAGCTCAATAGAGTGCTTGCTCACCATGCACAAAGTTCTGGGTTCAGTCCCCAGTACTGTAAAAACAGGACATTGAGGGGCTGGAGAGATGACTCAGCCGTTAAGAGCACTGGCTGCTTTTGCGGAAGACCCAGGTTCCATTCCCAGCACTCACATGGTGGCTAACAACTGTCTGTAACTCCAGTTCCAAGGGATCTGACTCCCTCTTCTGACCACCTTAGGCATTGCATGAAATGGGTGCACTTACATACATGCAGGCAATACACCCATATACATAAAATAAATCGAAAATAATAAAAATTAAAATAAATAAAAACTGGGTATTGGGGCTGGGAGGATGGTTCAGTGGTTAAGCACTTGCCTCACAGTTGTGAGGAAAGGAGTTCAGAACTCCAGAAGCCATGTAAGTACCAGTGGGTGTGGCTGCCACCTGTAATTTCAGATTGGGAAAGTGGGGGCAGGAGATCCCTAGAGCAAGCTGACCAACAAGACTAGCCCTATCAGCAAGCTCTGGATTTGAGAGACCCTGACTCAATGAATAAGGTGGACTAGTGATCTAGGATGACTCCTGACATCAACCTCAGTCCTCTACATGCATGGGCACACACATGCACAATCTCTCTCCATTCACACATGAAAATGTGTAAACAAAAACAAAACAAACAACAATGCATATGATGGTACATGCCTGTAACCCCAGCACTTGTAAAGATAGGATGATCAGAAGTTCAAGGTTATCCTTGACTAAAATGCAAGTTCAAGGTTAGCCTGGGCTACATAAGGTCCTGTTTTTAAAAGTATTTTATTTATTATTTTTATTTTATGTGTATGAGTGTATTGCCTGCATCTAGGTAGGTGTACCCATGTCCTGCAATGCCCAGGGAGGTCAGAAGAGGGAGTCAGATTCCCTTGGAACCGGAGTTAGGGACAGTTGTTAGCTGCCATGTAGGTGCTGAGAATTGAACCCAGGTCCTCTGCAAGAGCAGCCAGTGCTCTTAACCACTGAGCCATCTCTCCAGCCCCAGACTGTTATTTTAAAAAAAGTTCAAAACCAGAGATCAACTGTACTGGCATTTACCAAAACTTTTGGGAATCCTAAGGGGTTCTGAGTGGAGCCAAGAGAGCAGGTGCCATTTTAGATTTGGTCAAGGCTCTACAGCTCTTGCTGTACTATAGTGATGTAGGCATGATGCTGGTAAGACTGATGACCTAGGTGTACAGATGACAGACAAGGTATGACCCTTCTGCTTGACGTTCAAGTTTAGGTTTTGGGGTTCTAGCTCTTCCTTCTTCATTAAACACATAGTTAATATCAAGCATCTATTTCTTGGGATATTAACTCATGTTGGAAGAGGTATTCATTTAAAACCATATCCAGTAAACAAACACAGTGAATATGTTATTATAGGTGGAGAATAATAGGTAACTCCCCATGTGTTAAGTAACTGTCTACTTAAGGCCACCAATCTGTGAGCTTCAAGAAAAAAAAAATTGTATCATATGCCATTTTGGATTCAAAGATCTATCGCAAAGTGTAAGAGCTCACTTTCCATTTTTACCTTCATTGCTTAGGAAGTTGATGCATTAATGATATAGGTTACAGTGTCTTTTAAACTTTTGCAGTTCCAAATTCAGCTTTAGCATCGTTTACATTTCAATTCTCACTTTTGACTTAAAAGTAGTTCGTTTCCTGAATATATAGTTTAAACAACAAAAAGCCAATTTACAAGTGTAGCCGTTGCAGTTCTAGCAAAGAGGAAAGTTGTGGGGTTAAACTTTTTATTTTCTTTCTTATGGAAGCTTCTAAAAAGGCATTTTTATGTTCCTTTTAACAAATATTGTGTACAACCTTTAAAACAAAAATGTTTGGATAAAAAGAAGACCCATATTATTTTCTTCTTGCTGTAAATTAAGCAAACATGCTATATTAAAAACAAATGAAGGGGGAGGGAGTTCGTTTGAGTAGTATGAACTGAAACTAATCGCCTTGCAAAGTAACTGCAATGCCTTCATACACCACTAGATGGCTCTTTCCTGAAAGCATTTTGCTCCTTACACCCAAACTCCAGCCATAGATGACTTCTTGAACCCGCCCCTGCGTTTCAGTTGCTCTTGCCATCAAGTGTCACTCCTGGGAATGGAATATCTGCACTGATATACAACTGTTTTTTTTTTTTTTTTTAATGACTAATACATCCTTTTGTGGGCATTTGTAAGTCCAGTCTCATAAAAGTGTGACTTTCTGAATGTATTCAGTACTATCTTCATAACACAATTACTAGATTATGATTTAAAGAAAATATAGATTGAGAATGAGTATTAATTTTTTAAAAGATTAACAATGGGAGTTCTTCAGATAATGCTTCTGTCTTAAATTTCTAATATTATGAAGTTCATGTTCGTTTGATTGTCATGGTTTTATTCAAGATTTAACTTTCACATCAGTTATACTTGTGTATATTAATTGTAGTTGACGACTATTTGGACATTTGGGGCAGTGTGAAGATGTTGATACCAAATTCATGAAGGAAAAAAGAAATGAGAGAGAGAGATCTTAGCAATCTGTAATTTTGTAATACTTTAAAATTCTTGTTTTTTCTATCCACAGTTCTCTTTTTCCTTAACATCTTTTTGTTTCTATTGACATTTACACTTTTCTTTGGGAAAAGATCATGGCATATAAGACACTAGAAATTTAAATAAATGGCTTTTTGAAAATAGGATATTTTTATTGTCATAGTACAAAAACTTGGATATTATTTGTAAGAGAATGATTACACACTAATTAGAGGATAAGTACAAGCACACAATTTCTCAAGGCAATAATTTTTTATTGTAGTTTTTAAAACAATATTTTATTTATTTTTTTTATTTTATGTGTATGAGTGTATTGCTTGTATATATATGTAAGAGCAACTGTATTTGTGAAATGCCTGTGGAGGTCAGAAAAAGGCACTGGAGGCCTGGAACTGGCATTACAGACAGTTGTTAACTGCCTGTGGGTTCTGGGAATTGAATCCAGGTCCTCTGTAAAAGCAGCCAGTGCTCTTAACCACTGAGTCATCTCTCCAGTGCTCTTTTGTAATTTTTATTTTTTTAAGGAAGCAGTTTTCAGGGGAGGGAGCAAAGAGGAAGTTTCAGAGTCATATCAGGGCTTTAAGATGTAAAAGAAAAAAGTTAAGTGGCGTATAACTATTCTTCCAGTTGGCAGAAACAATGCCCTGTTTTTTTTTTACAGGATTCACATCTGCTTTGAATGTTCATCCATCCCCAGTAGCAGAACAGTCTAAGAAAGGCTTCTGGCAGCAAGCTCTCTTTCCTTCTTTTCCCATCAGCCCAGTCCTGTCCTGGGAGAGGCCTTGTGCTCAGGCCTATGGACAATGCCATTTGGCTCCAAGGAAGACAGACCAAGAAAGGGCAGGCTTGTACACATTGGCCATAAATTCTGGGATTCTAGGTGCCAAAAATGTGATCTAGAATCTAGGGGTAGGCACTTCTGTCTCTCATGGCTTTCTTGTCCCTTAGGGAGGTATGTGGTAGAAATCCAGGGAGGGGTGCTCCAAGGCAGGGCTCAAGGTGACTGGCAAGGGTAAGACCAACAAGGCTTGGCTTAGAATAGTCCCTACAAAATATTTAAGAAATATTTAATGAGGTTGAAAACTTAAGGTATGGATTTAAGCCTATTCATAGGCTTAAATGCACTGAGCATTTCTGTAAGTGCTCATGGGGTTGGAGGGCTGGCGAGATGGCTCAGTAGATAAAGCGTTTTCTGTGCAAACATAAGGAACAGTGTTTGGATCCCCAGCACTCACATAAATGCTGGGCCGGTGTGGCAGCCTGACTGTAATTCCAGCACTGGAAAGGCAGAGACAAGGGATTTCTGAGAACAAGTGGGCTAGCTAGACTATCATATCCATGAACTCTGGCCTCAATTGAGAGAGTCTGTTTCAGTGTATATGGTTGAGAGCAGTAAAGGAGGAGGCCTGACACCTTCAGGCCTCTACAATCAGGTGCATACAAGTGCACCCATATGCTCCTCCACATATGTACACACACACATACGCCACACAAACACATGCCCACAAAAGAGAAGCCAATGGGATAGGAAGTTGTAATAGCTAATCTTGGTTATCAATATGACTAGAGCTGGAATTAACTGAAATGAGAGAGACTTTCTTGATTGGATCATTTGAAGCTGGATGACTCACCCTAAATGTGAGCGTTATCTTCTTATGGCAGCCTGTATAAATGGCCATGGCAGAAGGGAGCTTTTGCTTTTTACTGCTTGTCTTCTCTCTTACTGGTAAGTTCCTCTCGCTGCTGTGACCAACTTCTTTGGATTCCACTATAGATGAAGACTAGTGATCTCCAGAAATCCTCTAGGCCTTCAGCACCAGGTTGGGACTGCTGAGATATCCAGCCTCGTGGACTGAGCAACTA